TTGGCTCTGACGGTATTTTTTGCCATTTTGGAAATTTCAGAAGCCACATTTATATTTGTAATCTTACTCACGTGGATAGGTTACGATTGTCCCTCTTTGGCTATGAGCAGCTCTGACCCGTGAGTTTTAAAACCTCCGAATTTGTAGAACTTCCAAAGTTCAGCGTGTGGTGGGAATGACCGCAAAGTTAATGCTACAGAATACAACTACATACTGGACAATTAAGGGCTTCAAACCTTGTGGTAAGAGTTTGGTGATGGCCCTTATCTGTTCCAACATGACTGTGCCCCTGGGCCACCTCCATAAAGACACGGTTTGACCAGGCTGGTGTGGAGGAACTCAAGTGGCCTACACAGAACCCTGACCTCCAGTCTACTGAACACCTCTGGAATAATTGGAACCCTGATTGTGAGCCTGGTCCTCTCATCCACATCAGCACCTGACCTCACCAATGCTCTTTTTGGCTAAATTCCAATAGACAACCTCCGAAATCTAGTGGAAAGCCTTCTCCGAAGAGTGGAGGATCAACTCCATACAGGTGTAATGGTCAGTTGTCCACAAATTTATGGAGGACTGGACTTTTGGAGGATACAACAGGAGCAAGGTCAGGCTGAGGCGTTGGCAAAAGAAGCTGCCGTCACTGTAGCTTCAGCAGGATGGGGAAGGAAAGGGGGGGGGTGATGGGTGCAAAAAGGGCAGGGCCTACAAAAGTCAAGGGGGGGACACTTTGGGCGTTTCGTCTTGGGTACTTAAGGACCTTGTCCTGGAACTGAACAGGAGTGCAGCAGAAAAAGTGAGGCCTCTAGGGTGGGGTCTTGCCCGGCTGTTAAATATGGATGGCAGCTCTCGATATTGGAGTCTCCAAGGTCTATACAGACCAGAATGTGACTTTGCCTGAATCATCCGCCCGTAAAAGAAATATAAATGTCTGAATTTTTACCAGCTGACGTCTAAACATTTGATGATGTAAAATTACCTGTAAATGGAGGTTCACATTGTTGAATTCTCGCCCCGTAATTCCTCGGAAGCGTCTTCGCATTCGGACAGCTGTTGGTATATAAAGCTTGAACTCACCGGACGGCACCTCTCCCTTTGTGCGGAGCGTTTTGGCATGGCGTCCCGGCCATTGTCATGTTGGTTTATGTTTGGCTGCCGATTGCCATTCTTGGGGACAGGCTGCCCTCTGCATTGTCCGTGGCTTCTCGTGTGTGGCGTACGCCTTGGCTCGGCGCCCGGGCCCAGCGGCCCGTGAACATGGACCTCCGGACAGTGCGACAGAGTACTGCCAACTGGCTCTTCTAGGCCTCGGCTGTTGTAACGGCGGCCAAGTTCAGACTGCAAGGGCGCCCGGAAACAGCTTACAGGAGCAGATGTCGGAAGCCCAGGAGGTCCCGATGTAAATTCTGGCTCAGAAAAGGAGAGAACCGTAAAAGCGTTTCCTTATGGCGGGAAAATAGTACCCAGAATACGTGTAGAAAATAGTTGTTAAAGCGGAACAGTTTCTGCATTTATTTAAAAAAAATGTATTTGCACTTAAAAATAATAATAATAATAAAAAATAATAATACAATAATAATAATAAATAATAATAATAAATAAATAATAATCACAAAATAAATAATTAAATAATCAAAAAAATACAAATAAAAATAATAATAATAATCTTTGCGATACTCACCTTTAATCAGACGAGAAGGTCCATCCATCCTGCTGCTCCCTGCCACTTCCTGTAAGACCAGGCTGTCATGGACACGCCCCTTTGGCAGCATGTCATGATCGTCAGGATTTTAGTGAGCACCACTCAGTCCAGGAGGAAGGACCTTCATCTGCCATTAATGATGAAGAAGAGAAAGGACCTGAGGCGTGACCAGACTGGGGTGCCGGGAGGGGTGGTGAGGGAATTGGTTCAGGGAGGGGAGCACAAAAAGTCAAAGCAATTTGGTCATGTGACTTTAAATCTCAATGTTGCAGAACTTTATTAAGACATTTTAAAGGAAATCTACACTGAAGGAACAGGTTGTCATTGGGCGACCTCTGGGCCTCCATGCCGATCCAACGGCTTCAACTCCTTTTCTGACTTATGCTGCTAAATACTTGTTTGCGGGTCAGAGACTTCAAGATATTTAGGTAAAACTGAAGCCAAAAACGTATATTTTTAGTTTTGGATAGAGCAAGGGAGGGTTAGAACTAGGGATGCACCAATATCGTTTTTTCAGTATCGAGTACAGATATGTTTTCATCAGTACTTGCTGATACAGAACACCGATAGCGAAAGTCCCATTAAGGAAGCCAGGTGTCGTGTAAAGAATTGCCACCCAGCTTTGGGATTAGCAGGGAAGCCGGCTCCATGCTTCTCGTCACCAGGTGATGAGAAGCATGAAGCCGGCTTTCTGGCAATCAGGAAGCCGGGCGCCGTGTAATGACGCGTAGCCCGGCTTACTGTCAGTCATTTTGTTGTCACCCCTTCAATGGTGTCACCCCGGTGCGGGCCGCACCCGCCTTGTGACGCCACTGGGTAAATCTATGAGCAAAAGCATCATGTGACTGATTTGGTGTGAGCAAGGGACCGGCTCGGGACGTCTGTAACATTACGCGGTCGCTGCCCTGCCTTTGGGCGCCGGAGCGGGATGAGGACTCGGTGGCTGGTCATTTTGGGTTAAGCTGAGCCGTTTCCCGACGTGCGGTGAAAATGAACCCCCTGCACCGGGCCGAGTGTTCTTTAAATAATAAATGAAAACGTGAAAGAAGAAAAGATGAATAATTCATCCGGTATGAATAACATTAGAGGCATTGGAGCGCCCTGACGGAACGCTGGGAAGGGGGGGGGGGGTGGCGCCACGGTTTGTGCGCTGCAGCAACACATCATAACTGCTCTGTGGTCAGTTTGCGGCCCCAGACCAGATTCATACAAAGTATTTCTAAAGTAGACAAAGGTTAGGTCAATTGTTTTTTAATTCAAGGATATCCCTTCACTTCCTGTTTTTTCATTCAAGAGTTATCCCTTCACTTCTGTTTTTTTCATTCAAGAGTTATCCCTTCACTTCCTGTTTTTTCAATTCCCGAGATATCCCTTTACGTCCTATTTTTTCATTCAAGAGATATCCCTTCACTTCCTGTTTTCTCATTCAAGAGATATCCCTTTACTTCCTGTTTTCTCATTCACGAGATATCCCTTTAGTTCCTGTTTTCTCATTCAAGAGATA